AGCGCCTCGCCTTGGGTCTCACTTGTTGGAATTTCACTTTTGAAAGTCGGCTGGCAGTTTGTCCTTAACGAGGTGACAAGTTGAATTGTACTAATGTGGATGTTAAAAAGAACTTCCGGTTTAATACTTTGAAAACACGGAGAGCTATGTTTTTACCCATTACTTTCGTTACAGAAGCAACTTTATAAGGGATTTTTCCGAGAAGTTGTGTTGAAAATTTCTACTGCTAGCTTGATTTATTTTTTTGAATAGTAAGAAAAAGGCGCTACTTATCATGCTGGTATAATTCTGTATTTTTCAAAGTTTTCTGGCATTTGAGTTCTTCGTGAGTAATTCCATGCCAGTGAGAAACAAGTAGTGCTATATTGTGTTGATAACCAAGTTTTGTATACAGCTGAAACAATTAAATTCATACTAAATGCATGAAGTCCTGACCAAAGCCTGTGCGAGCTGCAGGTATGGTGTCTTAACCAGAAATATTTTTTTTAAAAAAAATCTGCTTTAAGTAAATCTTAGCTATAAAGTTGGCCTGACTTGCTGGTTGTTCAGAGTATTTTCCTTCGGGTGGTGACCTGACATGTTCTGAAGCATCATCTGCTGTGAAGGCAATGCAGGATGACAGGATTAAACCTTCTGGAAGAAATCATGTTTGTTCTTGACTGAAAGAGGAAATGGTATAACAAAAAGTAAAGGTAGTAGCCCTGAGTAATAATTTATAAATGCAGGTCTTATTCATCATGCCTGGGCAAGGGGGAGACTACTAATGATGCTGGTAGTCACACCGATTGATTGCTTCCCTATCTGGGATTCTTCGTGGGGCAGTAATGAGGAAAAATAACAAAAAAGCCTCCAAGCACCCCAACATATGCTGCACTTGTGACTTTTACTGCCAGGATTAAGACACCGCAGAACTGAGCTAAAATATTGATTTGACTCTTTTAATCTGTCTTGACGTCCCACTTTCCCTTTCCAACTAATTTACAGGCTCACATGAAAGCTCACAAAGCAGGTAAAGAACAGCAGTTTGATGTAATGAACAAACATTACAAGCAGCTTGAGAGTCGCCTGGACGAAATACTCTCTAGAATTGCTGAGGAAACTGAGGAAATCAAGGACTTGGAGCAACAGCTCACTGATGGTAAATTTTTTTGTCTTACAGTGCTTCTTGTATTTAGGATAACATGACAATTGAATCGGGGATTCAGTTTCGTTTACCTTTGCTTAAATGAAATACAAAATGTGTAGGAAAATGCTGAAAAACTATTCTTAACTGATCAACCGACTTTGGGTAACTTTTTTTTTTTAGTAGTTCACCTCATTTGCACATGGTTGGGGAAGGTAGTTTGTGGAGGGGTAGTGGTGTTTCTTTTCTTTTGTTTCTTTTCTTTTTTCTCAAGGTGGGGAGGAAGTTTTGGAAACTGACTTAAAGAAGTCAATGAACTAAATTTATGTACACACTTACTATACACCTAGTCCATGTGAAAGTAAATATCCCAGAAAAGAATATGAGTATAAAAACAGAAACAAAATTGATTCAGGTGTAAAGGTGGCAAATGTCATCTTAAGCAGGGGGTAGGAATGCACAGAGAACTGCAGTTTCTTTTTAACTTTTTCAGTGGTCAGGCTAATACAGTAATATGGGAACTCCTGCCCTTTAAAACACAGCACAGGCATTTTCTGGTTGACTTCTGGTTACTTTTTACTACATATTCCAATAGGTGATCACCTTAAAGAAGATTAAGAAAGGCAGTTTTGTTAGTTAAGAAGGCATGCCTATTTACAAAACAATCTCAAATTTGTTTTGCATTTCTGCAGGTCAAATAGCAACAAATGAAGCACTGAAAAGGGATTTAGAAAGTATTATCATTGGATTACAGGAATACCTGGAAAGCATTAAGTGTCAGGCAAAACAGGCCAATGCTGAATGTAAAGAATTGCAGAAAGATAAAGAATCTTTGCTACGAAGATTGGCAGATCTAGAAGAGGAAAGAAACAACCTGGAAATAGTTGCCATGGATGCAGAAAATATGAGAAAAGTAAGGCTTAATACTGTATTTTTTCCCAAATTCAGATACCTAAGAATAAACTTAGGGGGGAAAAAAAAAAAGGCAAATGACCAAATGGGGAATAGCAAAGCACAGTTCCTTGGACAAAACAATTTTTGATATATGGTAACTTCAATTAGATGTGCCCATGCTCATTAAGAACAGAATTTGGCCTTTAAAACCAGTTGTGGGAGACATACAGTAAATCTGTACTTGATGGACGATGTCCCAGAAATGCAGGCTTTACCTTTTAGGCATTACTAAAAATGGATTTTCAGTTGATGGCATAGTGAATTGTTTAGTGAAGACTGTCTGGACACATGCTGAGGATGTGTGTGTTATTACCTTGCATCTGTCCTCTCAGACATCTACTTAGAGAGCTGTCTTAGTGTCCTGGTACGTTTTACATAAACCTTAATACCAGGGGCAAATGTGTAGCTCTGAGCTACAGTTTTCTAACTTGAGTGTAGGTTTTTGTTCAGTCTGTCACAGTAGCATCGACCTGACCTTTGTATGTAGTAGTGGCACCTGGCTTTAAGTTTTAACGTTTAGTGATTAGGGTTAGTGTCTCAATTTTGATCTATCTGCTGTCACATTGATGACTTCCTGAGTAACAGAGGAAGAGAGGCAATGTACTTTAAGAAATCCTGGCTCTCCTGTGTACATATGTCTAAAATTAATGTGAAATTCCAGGAAATTACAATGCTAGAGAGTGCACTGGAAGAGCAGAGAGAAATAAATGAGTCGCTCAGAAATACACAAAGGGATATCAGCGCCTATGAGGATGAACTGGAAGCCCAGTTAAGAGACAGAGACACTGAAGCCAATCAGCAAAAAGAAGAATTGGAAAGACTGAAACAACTTAGCCAGGTAAGAACAGAGCTCTTGTGGTATGGAGGAAAGTTTGGATGTTCCTCGTCTGGGGGTGGATTATCTCTTTGGCAGCACATCTACAACATCGACTTGCAAATAATTGTTGGTTTAGGTGTGCCCCCAAATGGAAGGTGGTGTCAGTTTGCTAAGATTTATAACTTTGCATTGAAGCAAGGTACAGATTGTTTGGGAACCATGTAGAGAATATACACTGTATTTAAAGGGAAAAAAATAATCTACATCTCTTTGGAAAGAGTTAATGATGCACATGTTAAAGAAATGATGCTAAAGTAGTCCTGTGAAAAGCAGCAGGTGAAAGACAAAGTTTGCCTTTGCTCTTGGTAGTAGAAATTAATTTGAAGGTTTTCTGTGTTTGTAGATGGAACTGTCAGCCCTGCAAGCTGAACTTGAAAAAGAAAGGCAAGCATTAGAGAATGCTCTGACCAAAGCACAGCTAGCAGAAGAGAAGGAACAACAAAATTACAAGCTCCTTTCTCAGTTCAAACAATTGCAGGTGAAGTATTTGTTACCTGATAAGCAGTACGTTTCCCCACTCCAAGGGGAAAGTGATAAGAATTTTAGAAAATTCTGTATGAAGCTGGTTTTGAAGTTCAGTAGTAGTTATAACTTTTCCTGACTTTTAATTTTCTTGTCCAGAGACCCTACACCATAGTCTTTATCTGTCCATTTTAGATATTTAGGTTGACCTTTGAAATAATTTCAGAGCTGCTCAGTTCTATTGCAAAAGGATTGATAAATTGTTACATGTACCTTAATTTCCCACAAGCTTCATCCAGTACATATCAGTAAGAAAACTATTTGCATTCAGAAGAAAAAACTGATCCACTACCTAAAGCAGAATTTATTGCCTCTGTTTAAAGGTGTGATCCGGAGGAACCTTACTTAATTGCCACAGAACAGTAATGGTATCCAAGTACAATAAGCAACAGAGCTTGTGATCCTTGAACTCACAGGCATTTCCTGAACTGCTGGGGTGTACAGAAACACCTGTGCTTTAATACAGTGTCACAGATCAGTGCCTCATCTTAACTGAGATTAGAAACTGAGTTTTCCTCTTCTGAAAACTGCGGAAAGGCTCAGTCAACAGGATTTCTCCAGGCAAGAGTGATATGCTGGGTTCAAGATCTTTAAATCTTTGCCAGTCATATTTTGAAAAAATAAAAAAGGGAGTTTAAGTGCTGCGTGATTACAGCAGTTTCCCTCTTTGTGGGAAGGCTGGGTTCAGTCCTTTCTTTGTATCCATCAGATCCCTTTTTCCCATCTCATATACACCTCAGAGGATACAGTGACCACCAGAATAGAACAGAATAGTTCATTTGGAAGGGACCTACAACAAACACCTAGTCCAACTGCCTGACCACGTCAGGAAGAGCTTATAAAGGATCCTCACCAGGCATTAGCACTTTTTTTGTTGAAGCTTGCCAGTGTGCAGAGGAGAGTTCAAACCAGTGGGGCCAGGACAAGTGTGCCTCCTTGGTCTAGTGGCTGGGACAGTGTCTGCAATTGTTCCATCTTTGTTATGGATAGATAGTGTGTCAGGCTTCTGTATGTCACTGGGCTTTGCCTCTGTAAGACAGCACTTCCTTAGTTTAAGGAAAGGATAAGATCATTTTTGAACTGGTGTTTAAATACTTTTTAACATAAAGGAAGCTGAAAGGCAAAGATTGTTTGGAGTAACCTTATTTTGTGGTTGATACTTGTTCAGGCCACACTGAAAAATTCTGTAGGTTTGGAATCTATTTAAAAAACCAGAAAAAAAACCCAACCAACCACACACACCCCCAACCCAACAACAAAAACCCCGAAACAGATCTAGGTATTAAAATTCTAGCTTTTATCATTTATGCGTTTGTTTGCTTATTGTGTCAGTGGTTTTGGTTTTTTTATCTGGGTTTTGTGTTTGTTTGTTTTTAAAGGGAGACAATAATCTCCTCAAACAACAGCTTAAAGATCTTCAGAATCAGCTAAATCATGCGGTTAGTAACTTAATTCACCCTGAGGAAGTCTTAGCTCGTATAAATGAAGTCAAGCAGAAGCTTCAGTCAGGAGTTGGAGAGATCAAGTGAGTAAAATACAAGTACAAACAGTGTTAGATTTGTGCATGTGATGAAACAAATACCTGAGAGCAACAAAGTACCTGTGCTGCATCCTGCTGAGTGCAACTTGGGGCAGTTCAAATATGAACTTCAGCACCCTGTGGTTGTTAAGAGAACATCACCTGAGGTCAGTAAGTGAATTACTGAGAGAAATATGCTCCTGTTCTGGGTTTCACTGCAAGGGACAGGGTAAACTCTTTTCCCTCCTTTGTCCCCAACAACAAAGAATGGTAATAAAGACAGACTGGTGTAAGTAGAGCCGGGGTGGAGGTCTGTGTATGCAGTGTAATGTGTTCAGTGCTGCATCTGAATGAATTTACATTGAATGTCTTAAATTTGCAGGCTTCATTATTTCAGTATCTGGTATTATAATTTAAAATCACTATTTTCTGTCTTGGAACCTGGATTGTTTCTCTTTCAGATGTCAGAATTCAGCTGATGTTTTAGGGAAAAGCCTTGCAAATCTGCAGAAAGAATTCAGTGACATCCTTGCTGATGCTCAGAGAGAAAAAGAGAAAGCATGGACTAGACAGAGACAATTGCAGGAAGAAATGGTATCCCAGCAGGAAAAACTGGAAGAAGTACAGGAGAAATATAGACAGGCACGTATCAAGAGAAACAACAGTAAGACCATTTCAGCTTAGTCTAAAAAAAGCATCACTGCAAATGTAGCTTTGCTAATCCCTGTCTTTGAGAAGCATGATTTTACTGAAGCTAGACAAATTGAATACATTTACTTGTCAGAAACTTATTTGACAGCTCACATCAGAGCAAGGATGCTGCTGCTTGAGATTAGGAATACTAACTGTTCCCTAGCGTTCCGATTCTCCCGTTGTGCACAAATGTATGCCATGTAGTAATTTTCGTTATAAAGAAACTGTGTTGGGAAGAGAAGGGTTTAATGTGCATTAAAACTTGTAGAAGCCATCTGTAATTTTAGTTGTATGATAACAAGGACACATCTGTTTTTTGGTGTTCAAGTAACAGTGGAGTCTGGGGTTTATTTTTTTCATTAATAGTATTTATGACTTTTGCCTGATTATTTGGTGAATTAGAGTTTAGACTCAATGTCATGTTTCAGAGGCAACAAAGAGTTTAATTATAGGTAGAAAAATATAGCCAGTAATCTCCTCGAAAGATCACTGTACATACCACTACCAAAATAACTTGGGCACTTTAACATGTAATAGTCACAGTGGCAAAGCAGTTCTTTTTCCTTTTTCTTCTGGTACAAAGTATGCTGCTAACTCCACTTCCCAAAAAGTTGTTTCTTTAAATCATTAAAATAGGGTGGCTTTCGGTTGCAAAAAATATATATTTCTGGCTACTCGTTCTAACTTATTTCACTTACAGGTTAAAACTGAAAACAGGCAGAATAAGAACAAGGTCCATCAGCTGGAAAATGAAATTCAACATTTACATGAAAAAATAAAGAGCATGGAAGAAATTCAGGGCCTTGCTGATCAACAGCTCCAAGAGGCAGATGAAGAGAAAGAGAGTATTCTTGCTCAACTGGAAGACTTAGAGAAAAGGGTAGGAATGAGTAAGAACAAGTCCATGTACTGTGTTTGCTCACAAAAAGAAGATTCAGAAACTTTTGAGTTATTTTGCATTTTAAGATGGATCAAATACTTGAAGGAACACAAACAACATCTTTCTTTTCCTTAAATTTTATCGGTTGTTCTTGCTTTAGTTTTTTTTCCTCTGATGTTCTATGCATACAATACAAAATGGCATGGGGTGGGGGGAAGTCATACCGACAGCAATCCTTTCTTCCACCCTGCTTTTTACTTAAAAGTTATAAAACTTATTGTTTTCCTGGTTTCAGAAAAAAATAGAAGATGCCAGGGCACAAATGCAGTTTGTCAGTCTAGGTAAAGAACTGAAGGAATTAAAGAAAGCAGTCATCGCTTCGGATAAACTGGCAGCCACAGAGCTCTCCATTGCTAAAAATCAGCTGAAGGCTCTTCATGGGACTGTTCTCAGAATGAATCAGGAGCGAGCTGAGGTAAATCAACAGTGATAATTAGTTGCTTGTGCATAAGTCGTGCCTCCTAATGCCGTCATAGTGGGAGCAGTCCTGGGGGTGCCTTTTAAATTCAGTGTCAGAGCTTTATTCTGAATCGTCCTGCTGCACAGGAGCTCTTACTTTGGTCAGAGTCTCAACCTGAAATACAGTAGGCGAATGGCTGGAGTATATTTGGCTATGGACAGGTGTTCTTGCTGTGTGTTAGAAGGTGAGGGAGAGGCAAGTTTAATTTCTTACTAGCTGAAAGTCAAACAATAGATAATACATCATTACCTAAGATAGAAAAGCAAAAGAAGGGACTATGGAAGTTTGTTTTTACACTTCAAGTGTTTAAAACTGGGAATCACTTTTGGCTACATACTAACATCTCCTCTGTAGAAATACTGCAAAGTTAAAGAAGAAATATTATTTTACATAAACTTTGCCAGTTTCTGGAATTCCAGAACAGACAAGTGCTGATACTTCTTGTTAGTCAGCTTTTCACAAAGCTGCATGAGACATCTGCAAGCCTGTGAAGTATTCTTGCAAACTAAAGCTCAAACTTAAAATTTCAATTTCAGGAGATTGAGGAAGCTGAAGAATTCTGTGCTGAGGCAGCTCGTGCAGCTCGGGATCTTGCCAGAGCAGAAGCAGAAATAGAATTGTTACAACAACTCCTCAAGGAGAAGGAAGAACAAGTAGGTGGCAGATCTGCCTGCTCTATGTTATATGAGGAGGATAAAATATTTCAATATATTGGTTCAGTGAGTTTCTGAAAACACCATAGTTAAAGGTTTGTGCCCCACCCCTTTTCCTTGGGTTTTCCCTAGTCACAATGCTCTTCCCTCCCTTGACATATGCCAAAGAACAAAATGAAAACCTCACTGACTAGAATGGCTGATTTGTAAGGAAAACTATCACTTAAATGCTTTTATGTGGCTGTGTCTGTAAGCCTCAGCCATATGAGGAGATGAGAAGAACAATTTTGTTGCATCAAAGTGGTACAGGCGTTTTGCTGAATGAGCGTTTTTGTAGGGACAGATGGGCATGTCTGAAAAAGTTTTAGCACAGTCTAAATTAGACTGAAGTGCTTTGCTTTGATTTAAACTTATATTTTAAATAGTTTCAGCATGAAATGGAGAAAGCTGGTAAGAAGACTGTTGCATCAAGCTCTCAGAAGTTTGAAATAGAGAAATTAAATGAAGCTATGGAGCAGCAAAAAGCAGAAATTGACCGTCTAAGATGGTTGTTGGGTAATATGGGGACAGGTAATCTCTCTTTTCTCTCCATTTTTTGTGGATAAGCATGGATGCAGACGATTCGCTTTCGTCTCCATCTTTCTCACTGTTTGATCTGAGAAGCTGTTTAGAGCTCTGGAAGCTTATTCCAGGAGAATAAGCTGTTCAGGATACCTGTACAGTTCCTACACAGGATACATTCAGTCCCTAAATCACTGTGCTGCAGTGGATTCTCTGCATCTGTGTGTATGAGGCAAACAACAAGACAAAGTGCAGTTATGTGCAGTGTACAGGTCTTTACCTCTTCAGACGTGAAGAATGGAAGAAATGGGTGGTTAAGGACCAGCAGCAGCACCAGCACTTCAGGTTTCTGGCTTTGCCAGCTGATGTGCCTGTGACCTTTGGAAATCTAGTGAAGTTCTGCCTCAGTTGGCAAATCAGAATGACAGTGTGTTAGTTTTGCGTTAGTTTGTATTAACATCACTTTTTACAACTGTTTGTAGAACACTGCTTGTGTCATGCAATCAGTTTGTCCTGCTCTAGAACACTGTCAGAGATCTACATGTAAGGGAAAATGAGCATCAGTTACCTGTACATGAACTTGTATTTCTACAGTCTTAAAATGGCAAAGTTGCAAGGGCCAGTGTATATCTGCGTCACTGTATAACAACATTTATACATTTATACAAACATTTAGTTTGTTTCCCCTGGCAACTAGTGGTTTTTTTAATATTGTTTCAGGTTAACAGGATAACAAAGAGGGAAAAGCTTTAAACTATTGCTTTAATTAAAGCTGAATGCAGTATTTGTGACCGAATTATTTGCCTTCTGTGCCTACAAAACTTTGATTAATTTACAGGTAACAAAGATGAAATTGACAACTTACAAGATGAAATTGCAGCACTCAAAAATGTGCTTTCACACCAGAATGATTACATCACCAGTGTAGTAGATCCATTGAAAAGAAGAGGATACTGGTATTACATGCCATCGTCACAGGTCAGAAATAAAAATCCTATTATATGGGAAGCAATTTGATAGGGGAAAGTCTATTAAATAAACTTGCTAGGTCTGGGAGGAACCGTACTGAAACAACACGTACACAAATGTTCCCTGATAAAGCTCATTACTATGTAGTAATAGGAATCCAGTATCTGTAAAATTTGCAGACAACTATTCAAAATGCAGTACTGTAAATTCATTTAGTTAAACGTTTAAAAAGAGACATTACAGACAAACATCTCTTGCGAAACAACGTTTGTCTGACTTTAAGAGAAATACTGTTAAAATATATTTAGTGTTCTCTTTAAAGGAGCAGCATCGTGCTTTTGAAGTGAGAGAAAGTAGAGCATGGATAGCCTGTTCTTGAAAAATTAGTGCATTAGAATGTCTACAACAAATAATTTATTTTACATGATTTGTTATTTCTAAATTAACATGTATTCTTTTTTTTTTTCTTTAGACTTCAACTCCTGCTACTTGCAGCACAAAAGATTCTGGAGTTTGTGTCCTGTGTGCTGGCACATCCCCACCCAGAAGAGGGAGTGATCAGGACGGGCAGTGTGGGAAGGAAGATTTCAGTCCAGGAGGGTGTTGGGTTTATTCACCAGTCAGAAATAGGCTGTACAAACCAGATTCTGGTAAAGGTAAGTCAGTCCCATGGTCTTAGGAGCACATTAAAGATGGGCTCGCATAGAGTTCAGAGTGAATTTTTATGTGCATGAGTAAATTATAAATGTTTATCACTGAACTCATTATTTAGTTTAATTAGCGTTTACTACATTTTTGTACATTACGTAGAATTTAAAATGTGCATTTGAAGTACATCTTTTACTGGAGTGTTTAAAAATAACGTTTCTTTTTTGGTAAAGATGGAAGAGCGAAAGAAGACAGTGAAGGAAAAGAAGAACCTCATGTTCCCAAAGACCCTCCTTTTGTACCACCACCTGGTACAGTTATTTACACGGTCCTTCCAGATGGTGCCCCTGTACCTCAGGGAACTGTGGTTTATGGCCCTCCTCCTGCAGCAGCAAATGGAGGTTCAGTTGCTCCTGGAACTGTTATCTATGGCCCACCACCTGTGGGAGCCCAGGTCGTTTATGGCCCTCTTCCTCCAAACTTCACCGTCCCCCTCATCCCTGTTGGAGTGCTTCACTGCAACGTGCCTGAACATCATGATTTGGTAAGATACAGAGCTATAAGCTGCAGGTTTAACCACAGGGACCTGACTTATGAATGGATTAGGAGCACCTTTTTACATATGCTTCCTCAAAAAAAATGGAAGAAAAACCCTCATTTTTGTGGATTAGATTAGTCTGTTTTGTTTTTTGTTTTTTAAAAATCTCTGCTAAGGTTCTGGATCTGAGAGAGCTGCCGATAAGAATGCTCTGTCTTCAGTGCCAATGTCTGGTCTTTGCTATCTGTAGCTGCTCCTGTGTCGCAGGAGGACTGAACTAGAAAATAGATCTTAATTTTGTTGTTCTATTTCCTGTATGTAGGAGAGTGAAGTCTCAAGGCTAGAAGACACTGTATATTATTTAAAGTCTCGGAAATACAAAGATAAATGGTCAGAGGCAGCTGAGCATAAATGCAAGAAAGAGGTGGAAAAATTGCATCAAAACATTGAAGAACTTCTGCAGGAAAGAGAAGAGTTGGAACATGAAGTAGCAGAGCTACGACGAGTAGCTCAAAAACATAAATGCAAGTAAGAACATTGCTCTAGAATGCATTTAAAGTAAGCATGTGAAAATACCTCAACTTTTTCCCAGTAAAAAACAATTTTGACTCGTTTACATTTAATGTAAATGGACTAGAACTTCAAGAGGCTCTGGGCCTCTGGCATTTTGTATTTTAATTCCGTGTCTTTCTTCCTGACCTTTTAGGGACTTTATTGAAGGGTATACTGACAACCTTATTGCAGAACTGCAGTTAGAAAAGTCTCTTAAACATCATGAAGATATTGCAGATGAAATTGAATGTATAGAGAAGACTCTTCTGAAACGACGAGCGGAGCTTAGAGAGGCAAACAGGCTACTTTCAGAGGCTGAAGTGGAACTTGAGAGCACACGGGGGAAAGTCAGTAAAGCCCTAACTCTTAAGTGCTTTAATTTTACATTTTTAATTTATTTATGCTTTGCTTTAATATACATGTTGCTTTAAGACTGTTTGAAGCAGAGGACTTTGGTTTGTTTAAGCAGTTTATTTTCACTTGGATAACCTGAAGCCTCTTAAAATGCTTCTATTTGGAAATAAGTCATGGGATAAACTGTGCTAAAAGAAAATGTTTCAGTCCTTGCCAAAAGGAGAAAGCTTTTCTGCTCTGGACAAGAGAGGAGAAAAGGTTCTACTTGATGGTAAACAAAGGGAGAAAGCTCAGGTGGAATATTCAAGCCAGGAGGTGGTCATCTTTGGACAGCTAAGCTGCAGGTTATGGATGTGGAAAGCATAAGATGGGAATGTATTGTCTTAATAATCTTTAATTTTCGCTCTAGACTAAAGACACTATCCAAAAGTACAATCATGCCAAACAGCATTTGTCCCGTACTGAAACTGAGGCAAAGGAGCTGGAGCGGAGGGCTCAGGAAATGGCCATCAAACTCGTGAAAGCAGATCAGCAATTAAGGTACACTGTTGTTGTGAATTTGTACGAACTGGGGATGAGGAGAACAGGAAGATTATTTTAAATATCAAGATAGTGCTTTTGGGGAGGGAGAGCTGCTAAAATGTTAATACAAAAAGGCATAAATGCTTCTTTAGGTTGTTACAGGCAGATACAAGGGATTTAGAACAGCGTAAGAGGGAACAAGAAGGTATTTTGAAGGAGATCAACAAAATGGTGGCTGCAAGAGACTCTGAATTCCAGTCGTTAAAGCAGAAGATAGAAATGCTAACTGAAAGGTAAGTACTTTCAATTTATCGTAAACGATATTAGATAAAATAAAGATGTCCACCTCCAGTAAGTTTCTGCCTAAGGTAGTCTTGTTTCCTCTGAGTCAATGTTTTTATCCTCACCATCAGTCTTCAGAAGCTTCAAGGAGATATTCAAGTTGCGGAAGGTAATGAAGAACATCACCTTCAGATCCTTAGAGAAGCAGAAAACCTTCTTCAAGGCAAGAAAACCGAACTGGAAAGATTGAAAGATCAGGTAAGGCTTTTCTGATTAACTCTGGACTTACCAGTTTTGTTGGTTTTGATGTAACCAAAAGCCGAGAAGAGTCTAAAGTTCTGAACTGCCTTGCCTGAAGAATTTAATTCTTAAATTTGAATGCTCCTTGTTTACCTTGCTTGGCAATTCGAATGCTCCTTGTTTTCCCTCATAATAAGTATGATCCCAGTCTCGCTGGCGTTTCTGCATAATAAATGTTACTGCAGAGTGCTCTGACAATTCTCACTGCATTTCAGAATAAAACTTAACTCTCTGAGGTATAGGACTGAACTTAGTCTTTAGTATTGGTTTAACAACTGAAGCTCATTGCTGTGATGGTGTCTTTACGTGTGTGCAATTCCAGTAAATCTCTTTGGCAGGAAACAGTGCACGGCACTTATTCTTGTGCATGTCTGTAGTCAAAAAAATCAAAGCCTTCAGATGCTTCTTCTGTTAAACTTCTACATTGTAGATGACTGCTCAGCAACAAGAGCTCTTGTTTCTGGAGCAACAGTTAAATCAAAGAAAAGAGGAGCTCCATGTCGTTCAAGACTGTATTTCTCAAAAGAAAGGTGACCTCAAAGAAGCTCTTCGCGATGGAGAGACTGAAGCAAATGAAAAACTACGCCAAATAAGAGTAACTTTCCTGAATGAGTTTTCAATTCATTGTATCTCTGAAGAACAGCAAAAGAATAGAAGTATCAAAAGCATCCCATAAAGTTTCCACAAAATCAGTTTTGAGTTCTAGAACCTCCCAAAACCCACTGAAAAATAGAACAAGCAGGTTTACAGTTTAGTGTGAGCTTGGCCCAGGTGCACAAAAATAAGAAGTAGAACTCGCAAGTTCCACTAATTCTTACAGAATTGGTCCCTTGAGAACTAAATGATATTAAATAGAAGTCTCTGAATGACCTACTGTTGCTGAGACAAGCAGCTTCTAAAGCAAATGAGTCTGATCAGTGTGTGCAAAACACAACAAAGCTGGCATGTCAGCTGTCTGTCTCCATTCCCATTTACTTAGAAAGGATTCTGCACTTCCTTTCTTTCTGAAATAAAAGCAAAGGATCAACATTAACTGTATTTTGGGGGGGCTTTTTGTCTGACTTTCTGTATTAAAGCCTGTCTGTTGTTCACTTGAATGACAGTATTAGGGTCAGACTTGTAGATCAAAATCTTTCCAAGATTACTACTTTAAAATTGTCAAAAAGCAAGACTTTAGCCTAAGTATTACGTATTTTTTGTTTATACCGTTAACTGTAACTATAAACTCTGGAATTAAATTGACCAGAATATTGTTGACAGATTCTTTTAATTTTGTAAATATTTATAACTTCTATTTAAAGAAAAATTTTATTTAAAATGGCAAATAATGGCATTGCTTGTAACACTGATATATTACCACAGGAAATGAAACTACTTCTGGAAGACCTTCATGTTGAGAGGAAAGAACTGGATGTCCAGATTAATGAGAAAAGAGCACAGCTTTCATTCATAAAGAAGGATATTGGAAAAGAGGAAGAAAATCTTCAAGGAATACTCGGGCAAATTACCAGGCATAAGACAGGTGTGTCCCTGGCTTTACTAGACAGTGTTTTGTGCAGATTGGAAAGAAATAACACTCAGATCTCAGTCGTACCTCGCTGCAGTCTTCTGTTCCTCGGTCCTTCTTAAACGTTGTGAGTGGCTGCAGAGGAAGAGTTCCCTGTAATTCTCGTCGTCTGCACGGAGCTGACGGATGCCCTTGGCTTCAGCTGCGGCAGTGCTTTGTGCCACTTTGTATTTGGGAGGGAAGTTTTTCTTGCCAGAGAAACGTGAACAAATCCGTGGTCAGGACTGACCAGTTAAGCTCACACTCAAGCACTGTGTGGTTAGGAGGTGTTAGCTAATTGTGCTGCAGCACAGAAGAATTAAACATCGGGATGTGTGGGGAAATGGAGGAATCTCCTGAGCAGTTACATCCTGGCAGATTGTGGGAAGTACAAGCAGTGGGAGTTTGCTACTTCTGTACTTCTTCTGAAATATTTTCTTTCATTGTTCATCAGTCAGATACTCTGTCCCAGCCTTTCTTTGACCTTTCTTTCTTTCATCTTACTAGAACTGAAACACGTTCTGGAAATGCTGGAGCTTGAAAATAATGAACTTCAAGGTTTGAAGCTACAACATGACCAAAAGGTCAATGAGCTAGAGAAGACTCAGGTTACAATTCTAGAAGTAAGTATTTCTTCTGTAGCTAATATAGTAACTGGAAGAAGAGATCTGCATATTCTGTGATTCTGTTAACATCTGGGTAACAGAGTCCCTACGCTTTTAAATCCATCAGTTTCTAGTCTGATTTCAACTTATCACAGAAAAGTCTTAAGTCTGCTTAGGCCCTTTAAAATAATGGGGGTTTTGGTGCATATGAGGGCGAGAGGGCAAAAGCACAGAAATCTCTTCTGTGGCTGTATAACTGTGAATACTATTGTCTTAAAGTTTGTGTCCAGAGTCTTTTTATCTGCATTCTATCTGTGTCCTCACTTGCAAAGTAAGTATGGAAGACAGTTTACTAACTCAGCTGGATGATCTTCTCTGCCATTACCAAGGGATTTCAGCTCAGCTAGTTTCTTCTCTTTTTGACAAACAGAGACAGACCTTCAGCTTTGCTACCAGTGGGCAGGGAGATCAGCGGCATCCCCCTGGCAGTCTCATAGGAGCTACAGGATTGTTAGGTCGGAGTCTAGGATAGCCCTTCTTCACTCAGTTGTGTAATTCCAGAAAATCTAACGTGCGTTTACTAAGAGAGCATTTATGAGCATGTATAAACAGATATTACCTGCTGCTTACTTTTAAAAGACTTTACGTCTTCTCTCTGTACTTTTTCTGTAAAGGACAGGGAAAACAAGGGACTAGTTGATACACTTGGTGCCTTTCTGTTACCACACTTATAGTGGTCACCTCTACCTGAGCATCTCACAGCCCTCAGTGGTCATTCTCTCAAAATCTCTGTGATGAAGGGATGTGCTAATCTTATGGATGGGGGAGAAATGGTGGTTAAACTATGATGAAACAAAGAATTGCACCTCTATCTTCCAGTCCTCATGCTCATTATAACCTTCATCATAAATACACTCAAATTAGTCTGGCACTTTAAGCAGTTATCCCTTCCAGTGCTGTAGTTACAGTGGGCACTCTGGCCTGCATATGATCTCTGTGAATTAAAGGTTTTTAAACTGCTGCATCTAAAAATGTTCATAATTTGTTGTACTCCTTGACCGTTGTTTGTCGTGTTGTGTTGTTCACAATGCCTTCTTTTGCAGGAGAAGTTAAAATTGGAGAATATTCGGAGGCTATTTCAGTGTCAGCAAGGGGAAGTCGATTGGCAGGAACAACTACTTGAGAAAGACCGTCAGGAAAATGAACACCTGGTTTCTCAGATGCGCACTCTGCAAAATAATATTGAGTCTTTGAATAAAGAAAAGGAAAAGCTCGAAGAAGACTGTCAGAGTTTGGAGAAGAAGTTGTCACAAACCAGAAGGTGGGGGAGAATATTTTTTTCTGCAAAGATCAGAAGTGATGGCAAGTGCCTTGAATGTCTGTTTATCGTAGTTAAAAATACAGCTGTAACTTTGAGGTGCCCAACTATACAGAATATCCCGTTTCTTATATCCTGTGGAGGTTTTTTTAAGCATGTCTACAGCAGACTTACAGAAAATACTCACCAATGAATGCAACAGCATTCATCTTATATCCTGGCAATGCAATGAGAAGTATTATGAAAAGCAAAATTTTAAGTATTGGAACAGGACAGCTGTCCTGCTCTCGTGACTAGTAGGTAGCATCCCCCTGTGCCGAGAGAACTTTTACTGAAATGCAGCTGGTTTGGTTTTTTTAGTCCTCACCAAGTACTTCCAACAAGCTGATAATATGTATTCACATTTTATAGAGACTTAACTGCTACTGAAGATAGCAGCAGAACTGCATTGTCCAATGTAGAAAAAATGGAATTGGATGTTAAAAACCTGCAGCAGGAGGTAGATCTACTGAACAAACAAAAAAAATCACTGAATGGAGACATTATTGTTGTACAGAAGGATCTTCAAGGTAAAGAGCAATTTTTGGTTTTAAGCTGTAAGACCTTTTAAGAGAAATTGTGTTAAAAGACACTGTAACTGTACTGTATGATACTAAATATACAACATGCTCAAATACCTACAGGCAGAAAGTACTTAACATGTCAAAAAGATGGAAATTTTAGAAACTATTTTTCTATTGTTTATTCTTTCTTTATGAAAAGAGGTAATTTATTTGTATAGATATTACAAATCGCTGATTGAAAATCTCTTGTGAAATATTTTTCTAGAAAAAAAAGAAGAACTAGAAACACTGAAAGGAGAATTGAATGGCTCCAGGCAACAGCTTCAACTGGTAGAACAGGTTAGTTTTACTGAAATACGTACGTGTTTTCGTGTAGTGAGTAGATTGGTGCACAGAACTGAGGGGTCACTTGTCACACCAGTTCAAAGTCCATCGCCTGTTTCTCATGCCGGCACATCAGCTCGAAATCAGACACCTGCAGAGCTACTGAGCAGTGGCTGGTTTATTGCCTCGTTCTTGCTGAGTTTGGAGAGGTTTGGACTGAGCAGGTACCCAACCAAACGAGACTGCTCTGGGGTTTCTGCTGAAGTGGCACCTCTGAGGACTCCTGCTCAGATTGTTACTACCAAGTTGGAGCATGTGGCTTTTTTTGGTTTTGTTTTTGAGTTGTTTGGTTTGGTGGGGTTTTTTGTTGGGTTTTTTTAATGGATTTGTTTGGTTTTGAACTTACCTTCTTTCTAAAAAACAATCCAGTCACAGAGGCAGAATCACTCTGGTTTATTGGTTATTAGGAAGCAAAAAAAAGCAGCATCTTCTCTTCTAGCTTTTTATCTGGTGGTTCCTACGGCGTTAATTCACGCAGTGGCTGGTTTCAATGGAGGGTAATGCTCAGTGTGATTAGGGGTGATAGTTGTGTTCTTTCAAATGCGAGCCTTTTAGCTGGAGAGCTGCTGCTCTTACCAGCTACTTATGTCACTTGATTTTATGTTCTATATTGCAGGATTTGAAAAATAATACAAGGCATCAGGATGAGTTGCTTAGAGAGCAGGCAGCCCTGAAAGAAGATATCCTAGAGCATTTAAGGAAACGTAAGGATTGCCAAGAGAGACAGAAAAAGAGAGAGAACCAATTGCAGCAGCTCCAGAAGGAGATTGAAGAGAAAGAAGCAGAAGTCGCCAAACAAGACGCGGTAACGAGCCTGCCGACTTGCCTCACGTTTGCTCGGCGTCTAAAAATAATGCAGGCCAGAAAGTTTTGGGTTCCAGTTTACAAATAATCTACCAGTGCTTTAAGAAACATGAAGCCTCATTTTTAGAAGAATAGCAGTAAACAAAGCTTCAACATTTGAGTTATGTTTTAGTGAAAACCAGTGTGTCACAACAAAGCACCGTGTCTTCCTTCTTGGCAGGGTCCTCTTCCACTGAACTGATAACAAAAGTGTTGTACAACCAGCACTGACCCGGAGTGCAGGAAGGGTTGGTGTAGTGGAAGGTGCTGGGCAGTGCTGTCCCTGGGTGTAGCTGACACGGGTGAGGAGCTGCACGAGAACACGTTATCCTCTATGATTCCGTGTTGTCAGCTGCCAACATGCAGCAGCAGGATGTAGTTCTTCCCGTGCTGCTGATTTCTCCTGGGAGATGAGCAAACTATCTAGTGTACCTGAAATGCTACGATGGATTTCAAGTGAAACTAATCAAAACTTAACTCCAGTTGCATTCCATAATTCCAAAACTAAGCAGAAAAATTCCAGGGCTTTTTTATCCTGGAGTTTCCTTTTGATTTTGAGTGGATCACTATTGGCAGCTAGCTTTTCTTCTTCTCTTCTGTGGTATTTCTGTGCAAAGCCCATCAGCTGTTCATGAAAATTAGGGCTTAATCTTATATTCCTGTAGTAAAATCAGCTTAGGTTGGCTGAGGAGTTTCAACAAAGTGAAAGGAAAACTGAGGAAGCTGTACTGAAAATAAGAGAGGCAAGAAAAATTGATGAGCTTTTTTGTCAGTAGGGAGTATTGGACTACATTTCTTTCCAATTTATGCTGCTTTAACTTCTATAATGTCTTTTGGTGATGGTATTTCTTCTGCTTGAGTTGGTACCAAGTTAAAGCTGGAAGTGGTGTGTTTTTTGGCAGATTCTTCATCGCCTCAAGCAAAATTCAGAGCGTGAAGGAAAAAAACTGGAAGAATGTACTGCTAAAGTGAGAGATCAGAAAATACTATTGGAAAAAGAACTCGCAGATCAACAGAAGAAACTGGAGCAGGCAGTAGCGAAAGTACGGCTGGCAGAAGAAAACATCAGGAAGCTGGAAAAGGAGGAGTCCCGATGTACAGCACTTGAAGAAACTGTCAGAAAAAGCAGTAAGATTCATTGCACAAGTAAATTGTTCCCATCTGTGGGTTCTAAGAATAATGAAACCAACAAATATGTCTGTTGATCTTGCTGGTTTCTAATGCAGCACCTGGATTGATGTGCTCAAAGAATGAAATTCTAAAGCCAACTGGTGTGCTGTCCCCTTTCACCTTGTTGTGTTTTTACAAACCATTGCTCAGCACATTAATGTGTTTGAAAAATATCTAACGTGTATGAAATACGCCAAGATCCTTACATTTCTGCTAATCAGGATTGTTTTAAAACAATGTTAATTACAGAACATCAGCTCTCAGAAAAAGAATTACAATTACAACAAAAAAATAGAGAAATACAGTCCCTTCAAAAAGAACTGGAAGTCTCCAAGTCTGAGCTAAACCATCTCCAAGATCAGATAGCATCAGAGAGGAAAAAAGCTGAAAAACAAATCTTGAGTCTGAAAGAAGCAATGAAAACGCAAAGGATGCAGCTTGAAAGAAAACTGCATGTAAGTCCTGGCTGAGGGGAGAATGTTTGGGGATTTGGGTTATTTTTAAACAGCAGAATGCTAGAACACTCATTTTTATCGTAGGAGGAACAAAGTGGTGCATGAACTTCATGACTAGGCAGACCTTCAGGCAACCAAACTCTGGTGTTTCTGGATTGTGCTGCAGAACAGCTCTCTAGTTACTCCTGTTTAAGGCTGTTTCTGCCTTCCAGCTCGAAGACAGGGTGTTCTGTGGGTTTGCTCGATCCATTTCTCTGCAGTGGACGCTGACAGTAAAAGGCAATCTTTCTGTGTTTTCCTAGGAACAAAAGTTTGAAAATAACTGTTTGCAGAACAATATTGCAACTGCTGAACAAGTCGCACATGATAACCATGAACGAGCCAAGCGCCTTGTCAAGAACCTTGGCCGGATCCAACAGGGCTACGTGGATCTCCAAGCTCAGGTACGAGCGAGTGGCCAAACACCGGTGGGTTTGAGGGGAAGCTCTGTCTTCCAGACAAGTTTATGTTGGTTTGGTTTTGAGTCTCCTCCTGTCTGCTGCATCACAGTTACAAACAGACCTGCTTAAAACTGCCACACAATTTTCCCAGATCTAGGAGAAGTTAAGCTTTGTTGACAACCAGTAGGATCAGGCAGCTCAGCAATCCCGGTTTACAAATGAACAAACCAACTCCAGCCAGTCACGTGCAGCGTTCTCGGGTAGGGCTGCCAAGCTCTAAAGCAGTGTTTCATTCTTCAGGATGTGGAGGCCCTGGCAGAGTGGCACCACTGCCACCTGGTGAATTACGGGCACCGTTGAGGCAGTTCAAACAGCTCAGCCCCTCGCCCAGTAAAACGGTGCCTGAAAAAGAGACAGTGTTCTTTGGAGGTGGGCTGGGGGTGGAGGGGGCTAGTCCTAGCTACTCGTTAGGAGTGGCTGGATTTGGGTGCTCCCGAGATCCGTAGCAAACGCACCGTAACACGTGCCGTCAGCTCCGTCTGGGCCATGCTTCAGTCAAGAACTGGGACTCCGGCTCCTGTTCACGTTAAGGTTTGGTAATGGGAACTTGGCATCACGAGTCATAAGATATGCAAATCACTAGATGTTATTGACGTGCAAAGATACTCAGAAAGCATTTCACAATTAAGTGCTGACCCGGGCCAGTATTTTCTTCTTTTGATACTCACTTTTAATTTAAAGGTGATTCCATGTTGTCAGACTCTTCCTGGTCCTTTAATAAATCCTTTATAAATTGTTTCTAAGTCTTTTTGAAATAGGATCCTTTGGAGAAAAATGTTGTTAGCAACTAGAAAGCATTCGAGGAGGACTCTGCAAGACCAGAGTAGGAACAGGTTTAAGTTAACAAGTTGTGTCCTGGCAACTTTAGTTGCCTCTATGACCATCTGAGGGGCTTCATGGGCAAAGTTAATGTCAGAATTAGGGCTGCATCTGATCAGAGGTTTTGTGATTCCTGACTGCAATAGTCAAAACGCAAACATTTCCGAAATAAGCCATGCTGAGTTACACAGGAAAACCCCTCTGGGCTGATGATGTGTTTGGAACCTGACAGCAAAATGGTGAGACTGTTCTGTGATGCAGGTTAAGACTCAAGAAGACCTGGAAAATAGACAAAGGGAGACAGAGAATGCAGTGATGTTCCTTAAAGTGGAGGCTGAAGATGAAGTTAGGATGGGCTTTAAATCTTCAAGCCCATCTTCTCTGGAACCATTGGAAGATTTGGAAGCATCTTGTGAAGTAAAGGGCAGTCTGCAGTGTGGATCCCATAACTTAGAGGAGACTGATCCATTTGCTGCTGCTGACAGAAGACTCCTCTCATTGGAAGAAAAGTTGAATTTTTCTAAAGTCTTCTTAATGGTAAACACCTTCCAAAAAGTAGCAGCTACTGGTGCTACAGCTGAGCAGGGCAGTGTTGGTGCCCTTAGTGGTAACTCTGTTACTGAATGTGCTTTTGTTTCCAGAAGGACGAACAGTGGCGTGGGGAGGCTCTCCGAGAAAAACTGCGGCATCATGAAGATCGGCTGAAGGTGGCACCTTTCTTCCCAGTCACTCCGACGTGTCCCTTGGGCCCTTCTAAAAATAATCTGAACAACCCAGAGCAGGGGGGATCCTGTGCATAGTGACCAGCTGCAGGGTGTCTCTGGGTGGGAACGGGAAAAGGAAGCCTGGCAACTGCAGGCTCTACCAAGATGAATAATTTTAATTATCAGTTAACTGGATTTTGGAGTATTCCAACGAGATTCCCTCATTTACATCGTTCTGTGGTGTATTAACAATGTGACAAATGACGGATCAGGAGCACCTGTGATCACTTTAGTGCAGGTGATGGCTGAGTGTCGTCAGCATTTATCTCCTGCTCTCTCTTGAAGCAGTTCAGGATAAAGGCCATAAAAATGGACCTTATTTCTGTCCTGGGAGGAGGTGACCTGTTTCAAAATAATTTGCAAACCCACTGCCAGACTCCAGTATTTCCTCCCTTACGGCCTGACTGGGAGGTCATCAGGTTTATTTTAAATACAGTTTGAAAATTGCCCTGGCTGTAACTAGCACTCGCGCTGTGTTTAGGTGCAGCTCCGGCAGTGCATGTCCAAGCAAGCAGAAGTGTTGATCCGAGGCAAGCAGCAAACGGAAGGCACCCTTCACAGCTTGGAGCGGCAGGTGGACGCGCTGGATGACCTGGTCAGCAGCACTTCGTCAGATTCGCTGCTTCTAGCCCAGAGCTCCAGTCTCGTATCTCTCCACGATGCTCTGAATTTTACGGAAACGCAGGTAACGCCCCCCTGTACAGCAGTTCTGGTTTGGTTTGGTGATTTTTAGCTCCCGGGTGGCCCGTTACAGCCATGTGCTCGGCGTGTTGGAGGCACTGCAGGGGTTTGCTGAAGGTGGGGCCATTAACTGCACACTTAATTACCCTGCAGTAGCTAACTGGTTTGAAAAGGGCAAGTTTTCCTTGGAGGGGGTGAAGTCTTTTCACTTTTCTTCTTTGAAATCCCTATTTGTCTTTTGGTTTTTAAAGATTGATGTGTCTCTGCTAATTAAAGACATTAATTATTACTCAGACTTGCTTTTACTGCTTCTTCTAGGCTACTCTGACAAGAGTCACGCGGGTGCCCAGCAGCCCGGTGGGTGTTTCCGTGGTGTCTCAGGCGCTGCGTTCCTGCTCACGAGGAATTTCCCAGTAGAGCCGAGAGGTGAGACGTGAGTTCAGCCCAGCTGGAACACCACTGGGTCAGGAGTGTCGTGAAGGTTGAGGCTTGTGGGTTGCAGGAGGCGGTAGCCCCGGGGCCAGTGTGGGTGCAGGACTGCTCTCAGGCGGTGCAGTCCCTTTCCAGGGAAAGCATTCCTGTGGTTGGGATCCTGGCACTCGATGCCTTTTTGGCTTTTCGATGTGTATTTTCAAACAACTGTGGGTGAGAGCTGCCTGCAACTCCCATAGGGCCCAGAGAAGTTACTCCTGTGGTGACCACCCTCGCGCTTCCATTACTGAAGGATCAGAGAGGGCAGGAACTTTTCTAGTTTAAATAAATGTACAGCCCAGCAGCATCATTCCAGTCACAGCTCCTTACAGTACTGGTACTTAATGGTTCTTTTGTCATGATCTAAGTGAAACGTGTGACTTCGAGAGCTGCTGTACAGGAGAAGAAAAGCTGTAAGTGCATCTACAGCTGCTTTTGGGCAGTCTGTGCACAGGAGCAGCCGCTGCACAGCTGTGAGTGCCACGTGTACCATGCAGCAGCCAGACAGGTCCAGCCACGGGCACTGCCCTCCGTGCAGGGCAGCACCGCTCTCCTGGGCGGTGCACACAGCTCCTGGCCCTGCACCATCAGCGACCACCTTTGACACCTTCTACCTCCGTCCTGCCTTCTCCAAAGGGTGTTTGTCACCACTGACACCAGCAGCTGCAGGGCCTGCTCTGAACTGTGAAGTTTTTGTACGATTAAACAACTGAGCTTTATGTATAGAGGTTGTGGGGTTTTTTAAAAAAAAAACTTATTTTAAATGTGGATTTAAATGCATCCAGAACAACTCCTTCTATTTCAGTGTAGCTGTTTGTCTGTTTCCACTTTAAAGAAAACCTGTGCCAAGGACAGAGTTGTCCATTTACCTGTTGTCAAATGCATGGATGTTTTCAATAAACATTTTTCAGTACTTCCTTAAAATAACCTTGTGACTGACACTTACTTTTAGCCACAGTTGGGATTTGGTTGGTTTTTTCCTTAAAGCTGCTCTCAGGGCCACGCAGCCCTGGAGCAGGACAGCAGCAGCACCCTGAGCCCTGTGGCTCTTACCTGCAGAGAGGGAAACTCGCCCAGTCTGGGTACTGATGTACCTGGAACTGGCCGTGGTGGCTGTTGGGAAGCCATCACCCTTTGCTATATCGCTTTTCTGAAGCACGTGGCTGCAGTTCATGGTTCTGTAACAAAGTTCCAAGCAACTTGCACTTAATTAGCAGTGGAAAAAACACTTCCTACAGCCTTCAGGAATCAGGAACTACAGGACATGTCACCAGGCAACTCCATGTCCTCCAGAACATCTGTTCACCCTCCAGCAGGAAGCACAGAGCAACTCTTTGATTTTAAAGCCTGCCTTGATGGAGAGGGGACTGGCATTCTCCTTCTTGCCCTTTCTCATCCACATCATTAATACAGACCTCCCCTACCCAGCACTACCAAGGAATTAGGGCACGTTTCACGGGGAACAACCACCACCCTGCTCCGGCTCTTTGTTCTGGGCTTGGCACTGGCCTGTCCAATCCTAAGGAGCAGTTCTGGGCTCTAAAAGAGACCAGCAGCCTCTCAGGAAAAGCCTGTGAAGCTTTTAGCACTCCAGGGCCATCATAAAGGTTGAACACAAGCAGCTGAAGCACAAACACCATCACTACAGGGAGTTCTTGTGTAACCTAAGGGCCATGCTCCTCCTGTTCCTCTTCCACCAGTTTTCTCAGGAACCAGAGGCCTGACTGCAGGAAAGCAGAGGCACCTGTGTGGTGGCTTTTACCCAACAGCAGCAGCCCCTGCTCAGCTGCTCCAGGCAACAAACCCCCAAGGAAGTCACAGCAGGAGGAGGGAGGGCCAGAGCAAATAAGACGAGTCACTGCAGTGTATCTAGATACAGGTACTTTATTTACAAATATTTAGATTAATAGCATTGTTACATCAAATGAGTACAGCAGTCTGAACAGATCCTTTCTGTGACAGAAACAGTAAGACCTACTGCGACTTACTCGGGGAGTACAGGTATTGCACCTCAACAAGCTGTAGTCACTAGAACATGGACTTCAGGTCAGCAGCAGGTCATGGTCCCTGGGCAAACCCTTTGCAGTGCAGCCTCGGTTTAAGCAGGATGCATGAGCTGTAGATCTTGAACATACCCATCTACTGAAGAACATAGTTAAAAAAAGGACTGACCAGACAAAACAAAGGGACAGTGCACAAGTTACCCAAATCCTATTGTCTGCACATTCCAGTTTTGGCTTTTATTTAACATTGACTGTACAATACTCTGGTACCACAGTTTACTTACAAGTCTCAAAATGGATAGTTTTAGTGTCTAGAGAGGGATTTCAAGACTACTTTGTATTTTAAACGCTGCAGTGAGACAAGGTTGGACATTCGATCACGGTTAAGCACTTACCCCCTTCCATTTTTAAACCATATGTGATGTTCCCAAGTGAAGCTCAGCAGTGCATGTGGAGCAACACCTTCCAGCCTGACACCACAGCGAAGCCCGCACACCGCTCGGTAACACCCACCACTGCAAACCTCCCCTTCAGACAAGGGTCACCCCATGGAGGACACGCTCAAAGGCTTGATGAAAAAGCCCACGCCTTAAAAGAAACCCTCACACAGGGCTGTTAAAAATACAACAGTAGTGCAAGATCCCTAGAGAGTACACGCGTCATTCCGACTGTCCAGTCCAGCCTCTGACCAGTCAAAAGGTTCAAGGTACAAAAGCGTAAGATGCGCGAGAACCAGCCGGTGCCTCCGCGCGAGGCGGGCGGTGAAGCCCAGCGATGCGAAACGCTTAGAAGAGGAACAGCAGGTCAGCTCGCTGCTGCCTGCACGGAGCAGGGGTAATAAAATGGCCGAGGTGAACCGCGGTGCGGAGATGAGAGACAGAATCCACTAGTGTTAACGTCTGCGCTGGGATTAGAGCTCCCCCAGCACAACACCCGCTGTCCGCACACGGAGTTACGGTGACGTCAGTGACCGGCAGCGACACCGAGCTCCGCGCTGACGGGGCAGCGTGGTCACACCTGGGTCATACTGTACAAACGGGTATTTTCTCACATACTGTCCTAATGCCAGTAATCTTTTTCTTCATTAAAATCATATACACAGGATGTATGTAACTGTTAGCTCAGTTCCTTCAAATTTTATACATATTTACGTTCTGTTAACAGATGCAAAGGATAAAAGTGGCAAAAAAAAGTGACGTAAAGCTATGAGCACAAGCATGAATGGATTGTTTCCCTGTGCAAGTCGTACGCTCCTGCCAGCCCACCCCGACCCCACCACACACACCACAGGGAATTCTTTCAACAAAAGCACCTTGTTACCGAGCCCCTTGCTACCATCCCAAGTCATTTCACAGCAAAATCCTTTACTATGGACAGCTCTAAACAGTAAGAGGTGGGGAAGAAAGGCCAAAGAACCATAAAATTAAACCGTACAAGACAAAGCCCTGCAAAAGTGTAAAATCATGAGTCCAGCATCAGTGCTCAGTTTCAATTATCCGTGACACTATCACAAGGACAATCAAGGAAAAAAAAAACTTCTAGATTTACCATGCAGGAGAGGTTTTATTACTCTACTTGCCTTTGATAACCTGATTACATCTAAAGTTGTTTAGCAGTTTAGTACTGTGTTAAACTTGTCTCAGAGTTGTAATTAAACCCAGTAAGATGTACAGAAGACAGGGAAGCAGTCGAAAGCACCGCCTCCAACAGACAGAGGTGAAAGGTCAGAAATGGAGCCACGGAACGGAGGTCACTAGCAGCCACAGCCTTCTCTCTGGGGCTGGGGTTCGCTGGTTAGTCGCCCCCCCTGCGGAGCTGAGGGTTTGTGCTGTACACCCGATTCGGCAGCGTTCAGATCCAGGCTTCCGTCTTGGATGTTCTGGTAGATTTTCTTGGCAGCCTCCAGGAACGCATCCTCCACGTTCTCTCCACTAGGAAGAGAGCAGCAGGCGTTACTCAGGCTACACTCCGGCACAACGTGGGTTAGGGAGGCAGCTGGCCAGGCACCCTCGCGAGGATGCGATAGGTCACCAGGGGTAAGCAGTTGCCACCCTGTCCTTTCGCATGCAAGAGGAGCCTACAGTACTTAAACGCAGACACAGTGTGATAACCCATCCCTGGGACAGCCTTCGACAGGACAACTCACTCCCTCATCGTTAAATCTATTACGTCTAGTGAGGAATAAAAAACCACGTGCCAAAACACTGAGCAGCAAAGATAAGCGCAGGCACCGAGCCACAGTTCTGACAGAGGAGTCACTATGAATCAAAACCCTTTGTTAAAAAGTTCCATGAGGACAGGCGCCAGTTGGAACCACCTGGACTGGTGTCACTGGAGGTGTGACCACCACGTGCACGGTGTGGCGAGTCCCTCGGTGACCAGAGACGGGCTGTGTGCTGCAGAACTCACAGCTGGAAACACCCGAGGGAAGGAACGTCTGACTGGGAACCACGCTTACCCACACGTACACATTCTACACCTAAGTGATGTCTTAAAACTGAATCAGTTCACTCAAACTGAACAAGTCTTTGCCTGCAATTAGCGAGAGGTCTAATTTCCAAGTCACCTGCAAGTCCAAGCTGACATGACTGAAGCCACTACACATTCCTTACCCTCTAAGAGAACTCAAAAAAAACATATTTTTTTTTTTACTTGTAAAACCCTATGGCTGTACTTACTCACAACCACTATACCCCCCTCACACAGATCACATCTGAATCATTGCTTGAGACAAGAGTAACTTACGTTTTTGCACTTGCTTCAAGGAACAATAAACCTGTTCAGAAACAGAGGTTTAACAGTCAGTGCACAAAGACACAGTCACAGCAAGACCTTCAGATGACACGCGAGACACTATTTTCGTTCTAAACAGTATTTGTCACTACATTAAGGCACCAGCACACCAGCTGATTTCTGGAACTCAGCAAGTCAGAGTTAAGCCAG